TTTTCTATGCATCTCCCAGATATTCTCGGCGTCGCATCTAGGGTAGAGTTTCCCTCCGCTCTCTCCCTTGATGTTTCTCCTCCCAATCCTCGTTCTCTCTCTCGCCTCCCTCCCTATTCTCCCCCTTGTCCTCTCTTGCCCTCCGTATCCGTCTTTTTGGTCTGCTTCTCATCTGCTGCTGTGGCCAGCATGCAGGTCGCCATCGAATTCGCGCCCAAGTACCCCGCGTCTTGCGACCTTAGGTCTTGCATGTGGATGGTGTATGACTGGGAGCCCACACGACCTTGTCCTCCAAGCGTGAGTGGATGATCGTTCGATCTATGGGGACTTGGAGTCTTGGAGGATCCCAGGGCCATTCTGGGCAACCTCGAGGCCATCCGGGGACCTCGTAGTGTCGCCTTCAGATCACATTGACCATCCCTGGGAGAAGGCAGAAGTCTGCTTTGGCAAAGTGATTGTGCACATCAGGTGTTTATTCAAGTGCTTACGCCATTCCGCCGACCCCTGGAGGGAGGAGAAACGAAGTCCATGGGTGAGGCCTTCTTCCCTCTCGGAACCGTTTGAAGGGCCAATCGGGACATCTTTTGGCCCTCTTGGGGGCCTCTTGGAGCCTCTTCGAGGTCTGTTGGGCGCCTGCTGGCGGTCTCGGGGGTCCTCTTGGGGCGGAGGGCTTGAAATGTAAGTTCGAGTTGCACCTCTTGGGCCCCTCTGAAGGCTCTTTTGGGGCCCTCTTGGGCCGACTTGGGCGCCTCTTGGGCCGTTCTGGGGCAAAGTGCTAGTGCATATCTGGTGTTTCTTTTGCGTTCCCACGAAGCGGTTGCGTCTGTCGCGGGTTCGCCTGGGCGCGCGGCCGTGCTCTCCCGCAGGGCGCATCACACCGTGCGCGGAGGCAGCTCGTCGGTGCAGATGGTGCCGGAGTGCGCCATCCGCACTGGGCCAGCGCCCTCTGTTCCGCGCACCGTCGGGACGCGAGGCATCCGTGTTGTCCTGTTGGAGTCGTTCACGGCAGGCAGTTTCGGAGTTGGAGCCGCCTGGAGATCTGAGGTGGCCCAGCACTGACTGGGGTGGGGGTGGGGCGTCCCCGTCGACAACCCCAATCGGCCCCCGTCGCGGACAACCACCGCTCGCCGAAGGCGCTTCAACACACTGCGCGGTGCGCCGACAAGGCGAGGCTTGTTGCAAAACGTAGACCAGGTGCTCTTCAATGCTATCTGGGGCGTCTTGGAAGGCGTCTTGGGCGACCTGCGGGTATCCTGGGACATCCTGGAGGCTTGAGGACTCCCGCGTAAGGTGTCTCGTGGCCCGTCGAGCGGCCGTCTCGTCGACGACGTTGACCTTGGATCCTGGGAGACCGCCATCGGTTGATGAGGCCTTGTCAGATGACTGAGCATCCTGTCCTGGCGGGGTTCGCTCGAGGATGTATGGGGAATCAGAGAAGCAACAAGTCATGATCGTGATACGTTCTAAGATTTCAGAACTTTCTGTTGTTCCGCGCGGACTCCAGGACCGAGGGCCGCGAGATATTCTGACTCATGATGTCATTCGTGTCCTAGGGAAATCGCTGCGCCCCTCATTGCTGAGCAAGAGGTTTGCAGATGGATCCTTGGAAATGATGAGTCGGGTGAGAAGCAGTGCCCTGGCGACGACCTATGACCAGCCACAGCGTGAAGCTGCGCTCCTCACCCGATGGGCGACTCATCGGCTTCCCTTGAACTACCTCTCGAGAGATATCCTGTGGAAAGGAGCACAGCGCCCCCAGTCGTGGCTGGTCGGCTCGTGAACGCCAAAAGCAGTTGAAGGGCCGGCAGAGCCGTCCTCTCCCCGTTGGCCCTCGGGCCACACCTCGGGGCCCAGGCGGCCTTTCGGAAGGATATATCCTGGCTTCCCGGAAGGCTCCCGACGAGGCGGAGCTGATGGAAACCACCCCGTGGCCTCGAGAGCCTCTGGGATCACCAGGAAACCTGCGGAGGCCTCCAGCACCATGGAGGAGGGGCCTCAGCAGCATCACTCCAACGTTCTTGACCTCTGTGTGCGTCGGCCCCCCAGGGGCGACGTGCGTCGGCCCCCCATGGTCCTCGTATGTGCTGGGTGGCGGGCGCTCTCTGGCCGTGCCGCCCTGGTAACGAGGGGCTTCAAGATGCCTGTGCTGTATGTTCGGGTCCAGCGTGCGCCTCCAAGGGCTCAGCATCTTCCGGATGTGTTTTTTTTTCGGCGAGGACCATCGCGGAGCATTTTGGGCCATATTCTGGACAAATACACGCACGAAGCCGAACAAAACAATCGGGGAAAGGACGTCCGGGCGATGGCGAGGGGGGGGGCGCACAGTACCAGCATGTCCTCCCGCGCCCCAGGGACAGGGCGAGGGTTGAGTCGGGCGTGTCCCTCTACAGGAGGAAAATTCAAAAGTAGTAAAACATAGTCTGGGGACGATTTTTCGACAACTTTTCTGACCATTTTTGAACATTTCTGGATTATTTTTTGTTTTTCTTCCCAAACCCGTCTGTAGGATGACATGCCCGAACTATAAGGCGATTGCAGCGAAGGGGCTGAAAATCGCCGCTAGATCAAAGGGGGGGCGTTCGGCTGACACAGCCGGACGCCCACGTTCAGCCGAAGCATCGGACGGCGCCGAGGGGCCGCGGCCGCCGCAGAGGGCAGGTATCTCAAGATCAAGGGCATGCTGCAGGCCTCCGTGCGGGGCGACCTGCCCGGCATGAAAAAGATCTTGGAGGGCGGCTTCATGGCCAGGCTCCGGGGGCGCCCTCTCTCTCTCTCTCCCTCCCTCTCTCTCTCCGGGGAAGGGACAATGACATAAGCATGCTAACTCGGAGGTCTGCGCGGACCTCTCGGATTGGCGGCGCCTCCGGCGCCGCCCTTGGCGCGCTCCGCGCGCCAGGGAGGGGGGTCCAGCGCGGATCCAAGAAATCCGCGCGGACCTCCGAGTTGCCATGTTTATGTAGTTTTTCGTTCCCCTATTCATGGCCAGGCTCCGGGGACGCCCTCCTCTTCTCTCTGGAGGGCAAGGATCTAGGCCTCCTAGATGCGGGACCGAGTAGATGAGGTCGGAGGATCGCGCCGCATCGCCGATGCATCGACGATGCCGCTCGACGTGGAGCCCGTGTCTCCCCACGCCGACGTCGCCGATGCATCGCCGATGCATCGCAGATACACAAGCGATGCATTGGCGATGCGGCGCGATCCTTCGACCCATCTACTCGGACCCCATTTAGGAGGCCTCTGAACGAGCCGACCGGAAAAGAGACAACTGTACAAACTTACTCCGTCAGAGCTCCGCTGGGATTCCTAAGGATTCCTAAGGATTCCTAGGGATGCCCTTCCTAAGGATTCCTAGGGATTCCCTTCCTAAGGATTCCTAGGGATTCCCACGGATTCCAAGGGGTTCTAGGGATTCTAGGGGGTCCTAAGCACAAGGATTCCCAAGGATTCCTAAGGATTCTCGGCGCGGTGGCCCCCCCTCGCTGCGCCGCCGGCGACGCAGTTTTGCAGCGCCGACGTCGTGGTTGTTCCCGTGCGCGGGCTGCGGGCCCCAGGGGTCACAACCAAGCCGACGGTATTGGTGAGGACAGATCGCACCCCAGCTTTGATTGGCGTCTGGTAATCGATGAGACAGCACCGACTTCGCGTCGAGATGCACTCGATCTGGCGCAGCCCCGATGTGCGGGCCTCCTCATCCCCCTCCCCCTCCCCCTCCTCTACGCCCTTTCCCTTTCCCTGCCTCGTCCCCTTCCCTTTCCCTTTCCCCTTTCCCCTCTCCGCTTTTCTTTCCCTTCTCATTTCTATTGTCTCTTTCCTCCTGTCACCTGTATCGTCGCCTTCCCTTTGCCCTTCTCCTTTCTCCTTTCTTCTTTCTCCTTTCTCCTTTCCCCGCTCCCCTTTCTCTTTCCCTGCTCCCACTTCCCCCTTACCCTTCCCTTTCCCCTGCCGCTTCCCCTTCCGTTTCGCAGCTGCACATTATTAATGCTTCTCTCAACTCTCCCGTGACTCTGTCTGGAAGGTGCTCCGCCCTCTCCGCTCAATTATTGTTTTCGCATCGAGGATTTCAGCAATTGTTTTTTTTTTCTCATGTGTTTTTTACGTCAGAGCGTCCCGTCCCAATGGTGCGTCTGCTGCAGCGTTGGTTTCATTTCAGCAATTTCGGTCCTTCCGAATGGTTCTCCCGCTGCAGCACTGTTCTCATTTCCGCGTTTTTGGTCCTTCCGAATGGTTTGGTGCTCCTGCTGCAGCACTGACCTCATCTCTAAATTGTTGGTCCTCGAGGATGATGTCTGGCTGCACCGTTCAAGCAGCTGTGGTATGCAATTCAATGCTACGTTATGTGCCGCTATTGTGCGATTCCATGCCTTGCTGCGCTGCGAAACTGTAACATGCACCGCTGGGCTACGCAGTGCCGTGTCATGCTATGCTAGGTCATGTACCGCTATGCGATGCTATTCCTTGCGCTATAATGCCATGGTATGTGATTGCGCAAGACCATGCCATTCTATGCATCGCGTACCCTTTGGGGATCGTTGTCTTCTTCGACATCCGACTAAGCGAACAGAGACGGGTTCTACGCAATGGTAAGGGATGGGAGGGATGGGTACGACGTCCGATATGACGCTATAGTTTGCCCTTTCCCATCTCACATTTTCATTTCTCTTTCCCTTTCCCATGTTCCTTTCCCTTGTCCATTTCCTTCCTCTTTTTCCTTTCCTTTTCTGGTGTCTTTCCTTTTCCTTTTCCTTTTCCTTCCCCTTCGCCTTCCCCTTCGCCTTCCCCTTCGCCTTCCTGTTCCTTCCCTTCGCCTTTACCTTTCCACTTTTCCATTTCCCCTCTTTTCCTTTTTTTTCTGTTTCATTTTCCCTTGTCCTTTTCCCTTTTCCCTCCCTTTTTCCTTCGTCCTTCCCCCTTTCCTTTCCGCTTTCCATTTCCTTTGCCATTCCGCTTCCCCTTCCCTCCCTCTCACCCTCTCCCCTTCCCCATCCTCCGTTCCCCCTCCCCGCCCCCTACTCCTTCCCATTCTCGTCCCCTCCCCCCCACCCTTTTACTTTTCCCCTTGTCCCCCTCCTCCCCAACCTCTCCCGTCTCCCCCCCCTCCTGCCCCTCCTCCTCCCCCACCGCCCGCTCCCCTTGAGGGCATTTGTTTCCTGCCCGTCGAAGGCACACATTCCACATCATGTTTTTTTCCCAACCCTCCTTGGTTGGGCATTCGTTTTAAATAGAGCACTGTGGTCGCGTCCTTCTTCTTCTCCCGCCTCCCGTTTCCCGCTTCCGTCTTGTCTCATCTTGCCTTGCGCGAACCTGGCCATCCTTGGGAGGCTGCGATCAGCGAAACTGTCGCCACTTTCGAGGACTGCTGGGGAGGCCAGCAGAGTGGGTACCCACCGCAGATCAGAATTAGACCTCGCCGTCCCTGGGGGGCTGCGATCTGCGACACTGTCGCCACTTCCGAGGGCTGCTGGTGGTTCCAGCAGACTGAGGCACCGCGGGGATCTGAGGTAGACCTCGCCGTCCCTGGGGGGCTGCGATCTGCGACACCGTCGCCACTTTCGAGGGCTGCTGGTGGTTCCAGCGGAGTGAGGCACCGCGGGGAGCTGAGGTAGACCTCGCTGTCCCTGGGGGACTGCGATCTGCGACACCGTCGCCACGTTCGAGGGCTGCTGGTGGGTCCAGCGGAGTGAGGCACCGCGGGGACCTGAGCGAGACCTCGCCGGCTCTGGGGGGGGGCTGTGATCTGCGACACTGTCGCCACTTTCGAGGGCTGCTGGTGGGTCCAGCGGAGTGAGGCACCGCGGGGACCTGAGCGAGACCTCGCCGGCTGGGGGGGGGCTGTGATCTGCGACACTGTCGCCACTTTCGAGGGCTGCTGGTGGGTCCAGCGGACTGAGGCACCGCGGGGATCTGAGCTAGACCTCGTTGTCCCTGGGGGGCTGCGATCTGCGACACTGTCGCCACTTTCGAGGGCTGCTGGTGGGTCCAGCGGACTGAGGCACCGCGGGGATCTGAGGTAGACCTCGCCTGTCTCTGGGGGGCTGCGATCTGCGACAACTGTCGCCACTTTCGAGGGCTGCTGGTTGCGGGGACCTGAGACCTCGCCGGCTCTGGGGGGGGGCTGTGATCTGCGACACTGTCGCCACTTTCGAGGCTGCTGGTGGGTCCTGCGGACAGGCACCGCGGGGACCTGAGCGAGACCTCGCCGTCCCTGGGGGGCTGCGATCTGCGACACTGCCGTCACGTTCGAGGGCTGCTGGTGGGTCCATCGGAGTGAGGCACCGCGGGGACCTGAGCGAGACGGCTCTGGGCGGGACTCTGATCTGCGACACTGTCGCCACTTTCGAGGGCTGCTGGTGGGTCCAGCGGACTGAGGCACCGCGGGGACCTGAGCGAGACCTCGCCGTCCCTGGGGGGCTGCGATCTGCGACACTGCCGTCACTTTCGAGGGCCGCTGATGGGTCCAGCGGAGTGAGGCACCGCGGGGACCTGAGCGAGACCTCGCCGGCTCTGGGGGGGCTGCGATCTGCGACACTTTCGCCATTTTCGAGGGCTGCTGGTGGGTCCAGCGGACTGAGGCACCGGGGGGATCTGAGCTAGACCTCGTTGTCCCTGGGGGGCTGCGATCTGTGACACTGTCGCCACTTTCGAGGGCTGCTGGTGGGTCCTGTAGACTGAGGCGCCGCGGCGATCTGAGGTAGACCTTGCTGTCCATGGGGGGCTGCGATCTGTGACACTGTCGCCACTTTCGAGGGCTGCTGTTGGGGTCGCCACTTTCGAGGGCTGCTGGTGGGTCCTGCGGACTGAGGCACTGCGCAGACTTGTGCGGGACCTCGCCGTCCCCGGGCGGCCATGGCATGTTGTTGCTGCCCCGCCGTGGTTTCAAGCCGCTTACCCACAGTCTCCTTTTGAACCTTGCGGCTTCCTCAGTGACTCAGGGGTTCACTTAGTGACCCATCGTTTTTCCCTTGATTGGGGATCTGCGAATCTTCCGAATGCCGCTCGCAGAAGTATATGCGTCCATGTCACGTCGCCGTCTTCTCGTCAAATCTCCCAAACTACTCCTGCCCCGCATTAAGCAGGGGTTGGGTACGTTGCCAGGGTAATTCCCCACAGGGCTCTTGAGGGCATTTTGTTTGCTTTCAGCTTGCATTCGCATATTCGTTTACCTTCCCTGAGATTCGACTTTACATACAAATTGCAGTATCGCCAAACATCACGGCCAGAGCCCTGGGCCTTAGTCCCCACGTTTCTTCCTCATTTCGAGACGGATCGGTTTGTGATTGTCCCTGGGCCTGAAATGTGGGCGAACACGCCCAGTGTGCAAAAAATGCGACGCCCGATCTCAGAGGGGACAGTTTGCTTCCCTTTAGCTCACATTCGTATGTTTGTTTGCCTTTGGTGAGCTCACTGCCGCGCCCCCCCCCAAGGCACAGGCCTGACGTGAACTGCACGGACGCGCGGGGCAAGTCCGCGCTGATGTTCGCAGCCGCGTGCGGACACAGAGACGTCCGCTGTTGCCAGATGTCGAGGGGGCGAGGGTAAGAGCCAGTGGCGCTGCTGCAGGAGAGGGAGGAGGAGCAGGTGGAGGAGCGGTGGGGGAGGAGGGGCGAGGTGGGAGGGAGGAGGAAGAAGAAGAGGGCGATAATCACATTAATAATACGACTACGGATACGGATGACATTGCGAATCGTGTTCAACATGGTTAAGTAATAGTAGTACCACTAATGATAGTAAGGAGAAGAGGGAGGAGGAGTAGGAGTAGGATGAGGAGGAGGAGGAGGAAGACGAAGAGTTGGCAGATGATGCTGATAATGATGATGATGATGATGATGATGATGATGATGATGATGATGATGATGATGATGCTGATGATGTTGATGTTGATGATGCTGATGATGATGCTGCTGATGATGATGGTGCTGCTGATGATGCTGATGATGACGATGATGATGAGGCTGCTGCTGCCAATGATGATGATGATGGCGATTATGCTGGTTATATGATGATGATGCAGATGTTGTTAATGATGATGATTATGATGATGCTGATGTTCATACTGATGATGATGATGATGATGATGATGATGATGATGATGATGATGATGATGATGATGATGATGATTATGATGATGATGATGATGATGATGATGATGATGATGCTGATGATGATGATGATGATGATGATGATGATGATGATGATGATTATGTGTATGTGTATGATGATGCCGATTATGATCATGTTGTTGATGGACATGTTTTTGCTGATGATGGTTCTGCTGATGATGCTGATAATGATGATGCTGATGTTGACGATTCTGATGAGGATGATGATGCTGCTGCTAATGATGATGGTGATGCTGATGGTGATGCTGCTGCTGATGATGATGATGATGATCATCTTGATCACGATCATGATGATACTGATGATGCGGATTAGCATGATTTTGCACATGATGCTAATGATGTGTATGATGTGTATGATGTGTATGATGTGTATGATGTGTATGATGATGATGATGATTCTGATTATGATTGTGATGATGTTGATGATGATGTTTAATATGATACTGTGTTTTGTCGTCCGACTCGTTTTCCTGTAACGGAGCCTCTTGATCATATATGATCCGTGGTGCTGTGGTGGCTCAAAGCTGTTCGGGGGTTCAGCCTCCTCCCGGCGTCCGCGGTGGATGCTGGGGGCCCTCCGCGTCGCCGGGCCGTGGCTGGGGCAGCTCGGCGCGGCCTGGGTGGCGCGGCCTCCGCCTTGCCCGGCGTGCCCGCCCTGCCCGGCCCTCGAGGCCAAGTGCGAGCCACGCTGCGGGGCGTGCCCTGCGTGCCCGGCCTGCCCAGGCTGCCCAGCGCTCACGTGTGCTGCGCCGGCGGCCTTGCCGGAGCTGAGCTGCCCCGCCTGTCCCTCGCCCGCCTGCGCGCGTGAGGCGCCGCAGGCCTGCCCTGCCTCAGCCGAGGGCTGGGGCTTCGAGGTCGGGTTCTTCCTCGGCCTGGTCGTGGGCGTGCTGCTGGCGCTGCTCGTGGGCGCCGGGCTCACGGCGCTGCGGCGGCTCGTGGAGCGGGCCGTGGGGGCCTTGACCGCTGGCCAAGACGACGGGCGCTGCAGCGCGGACGAGGCTCGGGCCGCTAGCCAGCCTCCGCGCTTCCGAGCCATTAGAGCGTGATGGCCGCACAAGCCAGGACGCTCGACATCGCCGAGAACCAAGTCTGCATCAACTTCGACGACGACGACAACTTCAGGTGGCACCACAGGGTGCTCCTCGTGCCCGGCCATGCTGCTGGAGAGTGGATCGGCGCGACGCCCGACGGGGAGGTCCTCCTCATCCGCCTGGCGAGCCACCTCGTGGTCGCGCTGACGAGGAACGCCCCCTTCCCTCAGCGCGTGCGGGGGAACGTGTACGCGTTCGGGCCGCTCGACGACGAGGCGCTGGGACACCTGAGGACGGAGGGGAGGAACCTGGCCCGCGTGCTCGGTGTGGCCGCGCCTGCGGGGCCACCGGGCGCAGTCATCGCGCGCTGGGTGATCTCCGACCCTGCCGTCGACGGCTTCGGCGAGGAGATCGAGCCAGGGCTGGCCTCGAACCCGGACCGCTTCGTGTCGAAGGATGCCGTGGGACTGGCGCTCATCGACGACGAGACGGGCTGGGTGACGGTCGAGAATGTGCAGGCCGACGACCAGGCCGAGTGGCGCGCCGAGAAGCAGCGGGGGCCAGGGCGCGACCCGCGGGTCCTGGCGATCCCCGCGCCTGGGCGCGGGAGCCGTGCTCCGCTCGGCGTGGTGCTCGCGGCGCTGCGCCCGGTCGACGACCCGAGCTGGCTTTTCCGCCGGCCCAGGGCGCTGAAGGAGTTCCTGGATGGCGTCGACGCCTCGGGGCTCTCGCTGACCGCCTACTGGGGCTACTGGGTGGAGCAGTCGGGCGTCGCACGCCTGAGTGGCTGCTCGCTCGAGCTGAAGGTCATCCTCGAGGTGCTCCACCACGCCCTGGTCTTCGACCGGATGGATGTGACGAACCTGGCGAGCTTCGAGCTGCTGGCGCGGAGGGCGCTGCAGATCCAGCGCGCGGTGAAGCGCTGCCCGCGTCACCCGACGTTCGAGGGGCTCGACCTCATGTTGAGCAGCGAGCTCGACGACGCAGGGGGCGTGGTGACCTCGAAGTTCGACTCGTTCATCGCCGAGGAGCAGAAGAACCGCGGGATCATCCTGAAGCAGGAGAGGCTCTGGCGCGAGGAGCAGGAGCAGGAGGCCAAGAAGTACGAGAGGGGGTCGAGCTCGGCTGGAGCCGAGGAACCAGGTCGCCGCCCGAAGAAGCCCGCCAATCCGAAAGAGAAGGCGCGGGTGAAGGGCAAGACCGCCGACGGCTGACGGCGCCATGCTGGCGCCTCCAGGGCTGGGCGATCCGCCCGGCCTGTCCTCGCCCATCGCCGAGGCCGCGGCTCCTTGGTCTCGCGATGGGCGGCGCCCCGAGGGGGTCTCCTCCGGGCGCCGCGCTCCTCTGTTTCCTTTTCCTGACGGTGGTCGCCTCTTTCGTGCTGCCCGACGGGGAGAACGTGCCGCTTTGCCTCGGTATCTGGCCCAGCGCGCGGCGCGCTCGGACGAGCGGGATCGGCGAACTGTCGAGGCCATCTCATCCATCAACGCGCTCAGTGCTGCTCAGGCCGGCCGGCCGCTGCGGGTGCAGCCGCCCAGCAAGTTCGAGCCGACTGCCGCCCAGGAGTCGGCCATCACGCGGATCCGACGTCGTGTCCGAGATTTTGGAGCTAAAGCCTCGGACCTGGATCCCGCTGGAGCCCTTCAGGAGCTCCTCCGCTGCAAAGATCTGTACAGTGGTGCGGGCGAGTGCTCGACGCGGCAGGACTGCGACCCTGGCAAGCTCAATGTCTTCAGGACCAACGACGTCCCAGTCGATCTGCGGGACGTCGCCCCGGCCCACGTGGCCGAGGTCCTGGGCAGTTTTGACTCCGAGGTGGTGCGGCCGTCCGCGGACATCGCCCCGGACGAGGAGATCGTCGAGCCCTACTGGGATCCGCTCCTCAACCCTCGCACGAAGGCCAACCGGCCGCGTCTGGTCGACTTCTTGGCCAGGATGGCGCGGCGGGGGCTGGTCGACGGCCGCCGCCGCAGGAAGGCCTGCGTCAGCACGTTCTTCGTGGCCAAGAAGAACGGGGACATCCGCCTGGTCGTGGACGCCCGCCAGGCTAACCAGTTGCATCGGCTGCCGCCTCGCACGACCCTGGCGTCCGGAGAGGCGCTCGGGTCTATCAACCTCCTCGACGCGGTCGACGCGTCGCCCGAGGATCTGGCCGACTTCGACGGGTGCTTCGACTCGCTGTGCGGTGGCTCGGTCGACTTGCAGGACGGCTTCTACCAGTTCAGCGACCCCTCCTGGGGCTGCTGGATGTGCTTCGACGTGGAGGTCACGGCCGGCGAGCTCGGGATCTCGACGATCTACGACGACGCTCTGGGCCGGCGCGTGCTGGTCGCGGAGGACGAGGTCATCTGGCCTTGCTTCGCTGCCCTACCGATGGGCTGGAGCTGGGCGCTCTGGATGTGCCACGAGGTGCTGGTCGACGCCATGGACGCCGTCGGCCTGCCGGGGGACACGTGGGTGCTCGACAAGGCCCGCGCGCCCTCGATGCACGGCGGCGGCGTGGCGAGGGCCCCCTACGTCGACAACGGGAACATGGTCTCGCTCTCCGCCGACGCCATCAACGCCCGCCTGGCCGCCCTCACGGCCGAGCCAGACCAGCGGGGGCTCCGCTGGCACGAGCTCGAGTGGGCGCAGCCGGGGCTCACCGTCCTGGGGCTGCAGCTTGACGGCCGGCGGGGGCGGCTGCGGCACACCGCGAAGCGCGCCTGGCGGCTTCACGGGGCACTTCATCGTGTCCTGCAGGTGCCTTGGCTGGCTCGCTGGCAGCTGCGCAGGATCGTCGGGCACCTGGTCCACTACTTCTCGGTGCTGCGGCCGGGCCTCAGCGTCCTGGGTGAGTGCTACGACTTCATCGGCTCTGGGCCTCTGGACCCCGTCGTCCGCCTCCCAGCGGGGGTGCTGGCCGAGCTGCGCGTGGCGGCTGGGCTCATCTTCCTGGGCGAGGTGGACCTGTGCCGGGTGCCGGCCGACGTGGCGTTCGTCACCGACAGCTCGCTCAAGGGCTACGCCGCGTGCCAGGCGAGGGTCCGACCCGACGAGGTTCTCGAGGCCACTCGGTGGAAGGAGCGGCAGCGCTTTGTGGCTGCCGAGGTGCCCTGCGACCCGGACGCCGAGGTCTTCTTGGGCCGCGCCACCGGGCTGGCTGACGTCGGAGGTGACTTCGACATCAACTCCAGGCCCGGGCTGCGACGCGCCGTCGCACGGCGCCGCCGTGTGGAGCTGGACATCGGCGTCCCGCCCGCCGCGCTGCCGGACGAGCTGCTCGACCCGGTGCGGTGGCAGGAGCTCCGCCGAGGTGCTTGGCGGCACCCTGGTCGCATCCATGCGCTCGAGGCAAGGGCCGCGGTCGCGC